TATATATATATATATAGCGTTCATATGAATATGCAGTATTTAACTGTCGCCCGTCCGCTTGAGCTTAATGCGACACCAGTGCGATTATGTGAAGGAACGTTGATATTATTTTCGTTGTTTTTTATTTATTTTTTTTTCTGTTGTTTAAAAATATCTTTTTGTCTGGGTAAAATTGCTTCAATTATTCATAGTTTCATTCAATTTTTCAAAGATTACCGATTTATATACATAATATCTTTATCGGAGAGATGACAGATTTGTGAGTTTTGTTAAATGTTACGATGGCAGGAAATGGATAAAAGATAACAAACATCTCCAAGTGACTGAATAATTTGTAGGATAGAAAATCAGGTGAATTGTAACTTACCTCCAGTCGTAGTTACAGTCGTAGCCGCTGCTTTAGAAGCTGAAATAGTAAAGGAAGAAAATAAAACTGACAATTATTTGTGAAAACGATATGGACATACCTTTAATCAAAACAAAATGAAGATATATTCTTTATATATTATATTACTAGATTCGCAGCAAGGTCTCATGATTTTATAGTTCAAATGACTAGATGTAACCGTGAGTTCTATGCTAACAATTTCTTCTATAACACTTCTCGCGTGTGGAACTCTCTTCCGGCTTCTTGCTTCCCAGTCAACTTCGATCTTCAAAAATGGAAATGCAATGTCAATCACTATCTTCTGTTTTCTTAATTCTTTTTCTTTTATTATTCATTCTCCTTAATAGCGTTTTTTTTTTTCTCATATTCTCTAACACTCAGTGAGCCCTTACGTCTTGCTGGCTTTATTGCCTTGCTTAGGTGAAATGATTAAAAACAAATATTCTTCAACTACAACAAATATATATATATATATATATATATATATATATATATATATATATATATATATGAACAAAAAATATTTTGAACTTGAGATTGGAAATTATGACGCGTTGTATGCATACTAAGAAGTTCCTTTTTGAGTTCATTTGAAGAGGGATACTAAGAATGTATATCTCATTTAATCATACGCCGATACATTTCTAATACATTTGCTTTTCCCCACCACCTCCTCTTTCTCTTCACCTTCTACCACACCTCACGTCGTGCGCTTATTTATTTATTTATTTTAAAATAGAACTTTAATAAATATTTTATTTAAAAAAAAATAAAGCATTAGGAAATCAATTGAAGCAAATCGCTTGAAGATACCGAAAGTTTGAAACTAAGGTAGCGGAATAGGCTGATTTTCTAATTTTATATATATATATATATATATATATATATATATATATATATATATATATATATTATAAATTAATTGATTTAAAATTAATTGATTTAAAATATGTTTTTTTTCGCTACACAGTTCCAACCATGTTTCAAAAATAGAAGCTAAGTAGCGAAAAAAAACATATTTTAAATCAATTAATTTATAATATTAATGCTCTGTAAATTTACATTGAGCACTATTTTGTAAAAATAAAAATATCTATAAGAACACCGGATTTTATATCTTACTGTTCTTTTTTTTTATTATATATATATATATATATATATATATATATATATATATACAGGTATATGTATATATACATATAGGTATGTATATATATATATATACATATATATGTATATATATGTATACATATAGGTATATATATATATATATATATATATATATACATACACACATATCTACACACTCATACGTATATGTGTGTGTATCTAAAAAAGATAAATAAGATATATGTATAAAAAGACAATATGAATGGGAAACTTTTCTTTACTAACGTGTTTCGGCCTCTGATGGGGTTGCTTTGGGAAAGTCCATCAGAGGACGAAATGCGTTGGTAAAGAAAAAAAATTAATTTTGTCTTAATATATATATATATATGGGGGGTGTATGTGTGTGTGTGTAAAAATATATAGAAAATAAAAAGAACTCGTTAGGTAAATAATCCAAAGTTCTTTAGTATTTTTGTCATTATTTTAAAAAAATAGTGCTCGATACAAAAGTAGAGCATAAATATGAATCATATTTTTTTAAATAATTATATATATATATATATATATATATATATATATATATATATAGAGAGAGAGAGAGAGAGAGAGAGAGAGAGAAAGAGAGAAGGGAGAGAAAGTTCAATCACTAATCTTCCAACCAAAGGATACGCCCGTTTGTCAGGTATACGATTTATAAGCAGATATCGGATATATTTTAAATACATTACATAAAAAACACTAATTATTAATATCGAGTAAGTTTTAAATTTATTCTATCTTTAAAGCCAGATGAGGTGAAATCGCTTAATCTGAAATTGTTCGATAATGTGTTTTGGATAATTTAATAGCCAACCGCTTTTGTTCCGTATATTGTTTTTTATTATTATTGATTATTACGCACACACACGCACGCGCAGACGCACACACAGACGCTCGTGCACGCATACACACGCGCGCACGCATACACACGCGCGCACGCATACACACGCGCGCGCACACACACACGTATATATATATATATATATATATATATATATATATATACGTGTGTATTTCTTTTCATGAATCAATTATCTATATCGGTCATGCCACCACCTCCTTGAGTAGACGTCTCACATATCACTCATCTGACCAAAATGCTATAAAAAGCAACTTAGCCACTCACATTTTGCAACAACCGTTAAGGAAGATTCTGGTCGGTAACACTAACATTCTATATAAGTCCTATTAGCAAAAACAACGCCGTGTGAGATGCCCTTTACTGAAAACATTTAGCACCCATTATGAATATTACCTTATTCAGTAGTGTAAATGGTGCCTTGAAGGTGTTTTTAAAAGAAGGACGCCAAATCAAATTCCAGCCACGCTCAACCCGTGAAGCTGGGAATAAACACTACTATTATTATTAAAACAGCACAAAAATAGATCTTAAACGATAAAACACGAAACGCAATTGCGCGAAATCATTTGGGACAATGGAGAATACGAATAATTTTTGCGCTTATTTACTCGCAGCAAACCAAAAAAAAAAAAATGTAAGAATATTGGAAAAATTAAATAAAAATTTATAAAATTTTCCTTGTCTGCCATATTCAGCGAAACTTGTAAAAGAATGCCTGATGCCCAAATTGTTGTGGTGTCCTCCCTCTAAAGAGTCTATGTTAGACTCTTCCGTCTACTATAAGATTAGTAGGGCAGAAGGAACAGTGAATGGATGGGGAACAGTGCTCCAAACTGTTCAACTGTCGAACTCTCTGCCTTGAGCAGAGAGGAACCCGGACGAGGCTTTGCCGAAGGGCAAAGTTTCGTCCGGAGAAGTAGACCGACCCTGAACCCGTTTATACGGATTCTAAGGGAATATTTTTGGCCGAGTCTACGGGCTCGGAGAACCCACACTAAGGTCGGACTTGTGCCACTTACATCCCTCGTAGGTGGAGGCTGTTAAATATTAACAGTGAATGGATGGAGCGCTGGTTCATACGATACACACTCACTAGTCGTGTCATACTTTTCTCGTGTTCTTAGTGTTTAATATACGATATATCTGTAAACCTGGTTTTTGTTATTACTTAACCATTTACTTGGCCACAACACAAAAATACATTACAAAAGGGTTTCTGTAAACCGTTAAAACACATTTCAAAATAATTAGTGTAAAGAGAAGGATACACACGATGCAGAAACAGTTTGGTAACGCATGCAGTCATTTTATTTGATCCTGGGTTCTGACCAATCAGAAACGATTATATATTTTCCTTCTTTTTTTTTGAGAAAATAGAAGAAAGACAAGAGAAGTTTTACCCTGGACAATAAATATCACCGCTGAAAAAGAATTACAGTAGATGTGCAAACATTCCAAGTTTCATGCAAATGAAAACAACAAGAAGAGAGATAGTTCACTCATACCATATCATAGCCATGTCATATCGAAACGAGGGTTTTTGACCGATCACCGAAGTTAAGCATCATTGATCCTGGCTTGTACCTAGATTGGTGACCGCTTGGGAATACCACGAGCCTTAAGCTTGGGTGAGGGTGGTATAATCGATAACAGCTAGGAATGTGAAATCGTAAGGCTGAGTTCGATTTCCAGTCGAGTTCGTTAAATTCATTTACACTAAAAACTTTGGGAAAGATATTACTCCATATCTTCTTCCGACTCCGGGTAAATATCAGGATAGACTGTGCCATACTGCCTTGTTTAGCAACCAGTCTAAGAGAAGGAAAACTCCCGGAGAGGGTTGACAAAAAGGCAGATGAGCTATTTATCGGAGTCAACAACAACATGGAGCTAGGAGACGGTAAACTCCTACTTTAAAAAATGACTGCGATTGTAATATTATCTAACACGTGTCACACGGTGCAGCAGTCGAGGGCAAGATGCTATGAAGAGGAGAATGTGCATTGCAGAGCACAGGTGATTGGCTTCTTTAAACCAATTCAATTGTGAAGGTTGTTCAGCAATAACTTATAATTTACAGAACCCTCATACATTGTTCTAGACAGGAGAATTCATCTGTGTGTATGTATTGTGGGAGGGGCGTGACAAAGTGAATGACCCAACAATGACACCGAGTACGAATTTTAACATTGGTTTGTCAAGGAGGTGACCTCTTGATAATTTCGGGGAGACGATCCCAGCACCTTTGGGAATTGTGGGAAAATTGCACCACATGTTGTCACAAGACTTATGAGGGAAATATCGTAATCGTAAGCTGTCAATAGTTGATAAGAAACCGTCACCGAGTATTTGAACGTATGGGCCTTGATCGTGCCAAATTATTCTTTCCAGTAAGTGCACACAGCAGAGATGCATTTTCAAACACAGGTTGGCTCTCTGCGTTAAAGAAAGACAAATGTTCCTGAGCAGAACTCTGTAACTGGAATTAGTAAACCACTCTAACAAACGGTGTTTGTAAGCTGTCGATATCTGACATTGTGATCGAGTGGCTGAGCATATGATCCTTGATCATCCCAAATTATGCTTTCTTTCCCGTAAGATCTATTTAGCACAGATGCATTTTAAACCACAGGTTGGCTCTGTGTGCGTGGGAGAAACACAAATGTGCCTGAACAGACCTCTGCAATAAAAATTAGCAAGCCACTCTAAAAGATGTGATTTGTAAGCTGTCAATAGTTGATATGACATCGTGACCAAAGGTTTCAGCATATGAGCCTTAATCGTGTCACATTATTCATTCTTTTCCACAAACTGTAATTTCCACTCAGCATAGTTGCAGTTTTTTCTTTTCTTTTTTTTTTACGGCATATCAACCTCAATGGGTTATTTAATGCCAACAAGATATTTATTGCTGGCATTATTTTTTTTTAAATGTATTGCTGGTATTAAAACCTATTTTTACACTTTCATAGTGTTTTGACCCCAGTTTGAGGGTTAACTATTTACCCATAGCTGGGACCCTAACGGATGCTTCCACCCCGGGTCAGGGTGGATTTGGGAAAACCAGCAATTAAGAAGTGGTTCCACTCACCTCAAAACCTCCTGATCAGTGGCCTTGCTATTGGACGTAGTTTATCGTCTTACCCAGGACTCGGATGTAGTTTATCGTCTTACCCAGGACGCGGATGTAGTTTATCGTCTTACCCAGGACGCGGATGTATTTTATCGTCATACCCGGGACGACATAGTTGAAGTATAAACCACATGTTGGCTTTGTGTGTGCTGAAGAAACAGAAATATGCCTGAACAAACAGCTGCAACAGGGATTAACAAGCTACCCAGACAGTTAGGCATACTCAGAAAGGAGTTACAACAATAATAATAATAATGATAATAACAACGTGTGCGTCAGTGCTTCTGTATATGTGCAGAGGTTCATCAATAAGTCTGAAGCTTAAAAATGAAAATGAATTCTATTTTTACCACAAATATTTATTTTCCGCATAATTTCCTTCCTTGTAAATATACAAAATGAAATAGTTATTATTAATCCCATTACATAGATAGAATATTATGCACTGAACATTTCCGATCGACATTCAGCTAATAATATGTATAAGTCTACGGACTTACTGATAAACTCTCTTATGTGTGGCTTTTGATGAGTGGTTGTTTGGGCAAAAAAAGTGTTACTTTTACAAATATAGGAGCATTCAACTTTTTCTTGATGTTCTGAAAAGCAAATTTCAAACTGCTACACAAGTGACCAAAATTAAAATCAGCAATCAAAAATCAAGATGGAGCTGACCGGATACTTCATATCTTAGGCTCTGAAATAGAAAAGAAAAAAAAAAGAAAGAAAGGAAAATCAAACTAAATTTTTGCTGTTACTTTTAATTTTGGTCTGTGTAACAAGAGTGAGTCGGAGATAAAGATTACAGAATGTAGAAAAAGAAGAAACAGAGCGCGTATGGAAACAGATCGGAAGTAAATCATAGAGCAGCGCATGCGCAATGTGTACACAGTTGAACATAACATCTGACTCACCTCCGGACACCATGCCCGTTTTCGTTGTCTTGTATTTATTTGCTGAAAAATGGACACAAAGGACTGATAAGTCATTATTCTTACTTATTTCTTGTAAAAACAAACTGAGTAGGAACTAAGTTCGTAGTGCTTTTAAATTAATTTTAAAGTCAATATTTAGATATTTGTACACAGAATTATTCCACTGCCATTTCGGAGAAATGCCACATTATCTGTACCTTTGGTTATCGGCGGATTTTGTCTGGAGGGAATGGATACAAATCACGTTCCTGGACACATGCATTGCAGTTGATCTCTCCTGGGCTAGCAATATATTCACGTTCGTCAAGAAAGCACAGAAGCAATTCTATTTAGTGAGATAATAAAAAGAATAATTCTATCGACATTCTATCGCTGCTCTAGTGAGAGTTTGCTGACATGCGGCATCAATGTTTGGTATGCCAGCTGCCCGGCAGCGGACAAAAGAGCCCTCCAAATGATTATACATTTTGCTCGGAAAATAATTGATTTTTCGCTGCCCACACCCCACTTGTCTTATCTGAAAACCTGGAAAAAAGAAACTCAATTAATTAATGTTTTTAGATAATAAAACATTTTTGTGGTGGACAATTAGCTGTAACACTAATTGGACAATGTTTCTGTTACACCCCATATATATATATATATATATAAGATAGAGAACAGATGAAGTAAAAATTCACAGTTTGTGACATTTACTTTTGTTTTAAAACTGCTCAATGCAAAGTAGAGCAAAATATTATTATAATATTTTTATCGTAATAGATTATAATAAAAACTTTTGTGTAGCGATGTAAAATATTTTATTATAATTAAAATATAATATTATATATATATATATATATATATATATATATATATATATATATATATATATAAGACATTTTTATGTTTATACATTCTTTTTATAGATAGAAATATTTAAGTAAATGTTTGTTTTATAATAAACAGTTTTAATGACATTTACCAGCCTGAATGTCTGAGAAATTTTCATAGGCCGGTAAATGTTATTAATACTGTTTATTATAAGAATGAATAAACATAAAAAATGTCTTAAAATAATTCTTGGACTTTGTCCATTTCATAATATATATATATATATATATATATATATATATAAAAAAAATATAGAAGTCAACACTTAGAGGCGATAGTCTGTTTCATGCTATATGCAATCGTGGCCTGACGACTGCATAATGCATGAAACAGACTGTCGCCTCTAAGTGTTGACTTTTATGTTCACTTTTATATTTACACACGCTCTATCTCTGATATTGAGCACCTTATTCCATAAATATAGCACACCTTAAGATATTTCTTTATATATATATATATATATATATATATATATATATATATATATATATATAATACAAAGACGCTCACTCGAAATCCAGCCGTGCTAAACAGCCGAAGGCTTGGAATAAACGCTCCTACTTTTAATCAAAACAACACAAAAGTAAATGAAACAGTCAAAACTCGAAGGAAAATTAAGAACATCTAAAACAACCTCCCCCCCCCTTGAAAACGGCTAAAGAGGTGGACGAAAGTTCTTGGAAAAATGGTTAATCTGGAGAACTTTTTGCATTCTCTTATTCCCTCTAAATAGGAAAAATGTAAGAATGCCGGAGAAACTAAATAGAAAGAAATTAAATTTTCATTGTCTCTCATATTTAACGAAAGATGTTTAAAAAGAAAGATTGCAGTCCAAATATACATTAATATACATAATAAAATACAAAATATAATCTTAAGTTATTGTTGAAACTTGACTAATGCATGGAATAATAATGCAACACAAAATGTACTTAGAACAAAATGTATTGAAACAAGAAAGTGTACACAATATTTACATATAGTCTTTTGTAAAATATAGGTAAGACCGTTCCTGGAGAATGGGTTGACTGAGTCGCAGTCGGGCAGAGTCTCGGGTTGAATCTCTCGATTCCTCCCTCTCTTCCCGGTACCAACCATATTTATATGGTCGGTACTCCACTATGCAAATTAGGTGGATCCTACCACAACAGTTATGCTATATTTATGGGTTGAATATCAGGGATAGAGTGTATGCAGATATAAAAGTGGTTATTGAAGTCAACATCCAGTTAATTTCATGCTTAAACGCAATCTTCAGACCATTTATGTTGCGTTTTAGCTCGACTATTTATATATGCTGGTCCATGGTGCATTATGGGTAAAAGATCTAATCTATTATCTTAACGTTTATTGTGTGGGCAGTAACGGTTATGTTTCAAATTATTCTAAAGGCTGTTGAGTAGAAATAATACTGGATCTTAATGTACTTATTTGTAGTTATTTTATCGTGTTATTTTTTTTTCTTTTTTACTCGTAATTTATTATTTATTATTTGTTATTGATTGTTATTTGTATTCATGTGAGCCTTCGTAGTTAATTTGTTTATTCATTTTTAATTTAGATTTTTTGTATATTTTATTTTCTTTTTTTTTAAGTTTACAAATAACTTGACACTTGTCATACCCTTATCTATAATAATAAATCATCTGTTTACGAAAACATCCAGTGTAAAATACATATGTGCGTCTATGCATGTATGTTTCTATGTGTCTGCCTTTGATGGTCACTTCTTGTCGTGGTGGAGGGTCTTGCGTGGTCCAATGTATCTGAGAATGATGCCGCCTAAACTCCTGGTAGGGTCACCCTTAGCGACATGGTCGAAAACGAGGACGGAGACTAAGCGTTATCAACCCCAGGGACCCCAACAAACGGATGATTTTTAACCTGCGGATGACAAGGGCTACGCATAACGGATGTCAGTCGAAATTATAACAGTCCGCGGCAGTCGTTTCATAACTGGATTCGGCATGCCTCATTCCCTATGTGCTGCAGAGGAAGGTCATGAAATCAAGTGTGTTTCTTTCTGGCAACTTGACGTCCAATTTAAACGAATCTAAACAATCGGCACTTTTACCTTATTTTCACTCTTGCAAAGCCAACGGCAAGAGGAAATGGATGACGGCAGCAGGTTTTAGTGACTGGAAGATTATAGTCCTGGACCTTGCACGTTGGCTGTGAATTTAGTCAACACTATCATCATCTTCATCATAAAGGAAGCTATCAGCAAAGAACAAATTAAATTCTTGGATACGAGATAAAACCAATGGCGACGATAACAATAACGTCGGGTCTTCGAGCTTCAATCTGTCTGGACCGAGAAATCCTGTAATATCTTGTTACAGCCATTTTCTTTTATGGCCTCTAACTGATGTTCATACACCTTTTCTCTTACACATTTATATATTTTATAATAATAATAATAGTTATTATTATTATTATTATTATTATTATTATACTAATAATAATGATAGTTATTATTAGTAGTAGTAGTAGTACCCGTGAAAACTTCATGACTTTTAAACTTCTTTCTTTCTTTCTTTCTTTCTTTCTTTTTTTTTCGTTCTTCCAGTCTCTCTTTTTTCTTTCTTTCTCCGTTATTTCTTTCTTTCTTTCTTTCTTTCTTTCTTTCTTTCACTGAAACCAAGGAACGCCTCTATTATGTCTGTTCTAACTTAACATGCGATCAAAACGGAAAAGTCCGTTATTTATGAGGCATCGGCAGGGCGTAACGTCCGTGCTAACAAAAAAAAGGAAGAGACACGTAAAATTATAATAAGAATATCTTATATTCCATATTGCTGTTCCAATACGCATACAATATTCATAGAGATTTAATACTGTGAACGGCAAGGTAAACAACATTGCTTTATATTAATGACAGCCATGAATATTCGAAGTTTGATGAAAAATCCCAGAGACGAGTAAAAATAAATCAATGAAAATTCAAGCAGATGTTTATTTGATGCGATTGTGTTTAGAGTTATCACATTTTGAGTCAATACATCGTTGTCGTCTGAATTTCAAAGTCACGTAATGCTATGAATATTCTTCGTATCTTGATGAGTCCGCTTTAGATATTTGTCTTCCTTTCGCTCCACCAAAAATGTTTCTATTGTGTCGAACGAAAAGAAGCAGACGAAAAAAGAATAGCTATTTTTGAATTACTTTTATCTGGATTAATCTGTACCAACAAAAATATCAAATGGGAATATTTGAGACAAAAACTGGTCGAACGAAGGACTCGCCATTTTGGCATTAAACCCCCGCTGCCGGAAATATCTACTTTTTGGCAAACATAGACAACTATGCCCACAATACGACGGCGTATCATAAGGGTGGTTTTCCCTATCAGGTCGATTTCTGAACCGTGGCATTGAACATAATTTGAATGTTGGGGTTTCTCATCATAAATAATGACACAAAATATTTTTTTCCTGCTCGTTATCGTTTTTTGAGGACACGAGTTTAAAGATTAAGTTTAGCTTCAAAATCGTCGCGTTGGAATTTCATTCCGGCCATCAGGGAAAAGGCTTATAGCCCAACCTTATAAAATTTATAATTTACCGAAGCTTTATAAATTTTATATGGACAGGATGCAAGGCACACGCACGTTATTACTAAATCATTGTTTCATCAAATAAAACCATCATTTACTTCAAAGGTACATTATACTGAAAAATTTAGCTATATTATGATATATTTATACAGTGCAATAGTTTTAGTGTGATTTTCAATAAACAATGCAAATTTAAAAACATTTTATCTTAAAATGTTTTCAAGCAGTAGTATACACTTTTATCTATATTTATTTTTATTAATTATGATTTAACAAATCGTTTTCATTGAGTAGCCTTTTTTGTAATCTTTTACAATGTTTTTTTTTTTACAATTTTTACTTATCGAATAATAATATATATTGCATATTTTACTTGTGACGATTCATAATTAGAATTATGGTTTGAATATATTTTCCCTTCATTGTATCTAATACAAAATAAATATGAACTTTATTTGGATTTAGTCTTGAAATAGTAAAATTTTGACGTTAGTTTGTAAGCAAAAACTTGCGGAAATTAAGTATTTCTGTACATTTTTCGGATAAACTTTAAAACTAAACGTTCGAAAATTTTTAAAAGATATCAATCTAAGTATTGTTGTTACTACTTATCTCGCCAAACCCCAGTTTTTACAATGAGCGCCATGTTGATTTTCTAAAAGAAAATGAAAAATCAGCCTGCCATGAAATTCCAATGACGTGAAGAAGGCCGGAGCGTACAAAGGCCGAAATGTCGGGAACCTTACAATAATAATGAGGACAAGAGTCCGAACAATGTAAATAGTGTAAATAATTACAATACCTGATCTCAGAAATATAGACAGGTATATACGAATATATATAAAAATATAAAACAAAGAGATATGTGTGTGTGTGCATCGTCCGTGAGTATGTGTGTATAACGGGTAGGATTAGTAACATTTTCATATGGCTGTTGGTATGATCTCTATCGACTTCACTCTTGAAATCGGGGGTTAACGTGTCGCTGGAGGTCTTCGGGGAAAAATATGTCGGATGAAGAATCACTAAAACTCGTTCAATAAATACGCAATTTAATGTGAGTGATTTTTGTTTAGCATCACTGCCACGTCTTTCTTTCCAGTTATTTGTTCTGTAACAAACATATTTCTTTTTATCTGTCCTGGAAAAATGACGCGGTATTTCTCTTTGGAAAATGACGCTCTTAATTAGTTTCATAATTTTTTATATCAAGTCTAAGAGCATAGGTTCGCAATTAACAATAATAGAATGGGTGTGAAGGGTACAAAATGTTGTGAAAGCTCTAAGAACGAACATTTTGAACGCATATATGAATATATGCAAAAATATAAAACAAATCAGTGGAAAAGTAAGGATAAAAAATTTATCTTAATTTTTTTCCTTTATATTTTTGTATATATTTTCATGGCAATTGCCCTAATGAGCTTTCCTCCTTTGTGCCTTGACTATGAATTTAAGCGTGCTACTAGATTACTGTTATAACCTAGGGGAGGTTACTGAATAGAATAATCACATGAAGGTTGGTAATGCACGATAATACTTAGGACAAGAACAACACATATAAGATTCGCTAACGGTGCGTAAAAGAAGTAATTAACTGCTAGAAGTGGGTCGAGTAAATTCGACAATGAATCTTCAACTCTAGGATATCTACCAACAGCCCCGCGCGGTCAGATGTGGCAGAAGGCTTAATTTAATGTTTGGTATCCGAGCTCGTAGACTCGGTCCAAAATTCCACGTAGACGCCGTATAAAACGAGGTCAGGTAGCTGTTTCCCCGAGGCGAAACTCTGCTCTTCGACATAACCGCGTCTGGGTATCCTCTCTGCCTGGAAGCAGAGTGTTTGACCAGCACAGCTGAAGACGAATCTCCTACGCTAGGATATCTACCAACCGCCTTACGTGGTCAGATGTGGCACAAGGACGAATTTAATGTGGGCTATCCGAGCCCGTTGGCTCGGACAAAAATTCCCCGTAGTCGGGGTTGGGTAGCTGTTTTCCGAGGCGAGACTCTGCTCTTCGACATAGTCTCATCTAGGGTTCTCTTTGCCCGGAAGCAGAGAGTTTGACCAGCACAGCTGGAAACGCATATTCAAGTCTCGATCAATATACTGTATTTATGTGAATGGGGACATACCCATTATCGTCCGTAGGTATGCTATAACAGTCAGTAACTAGGTCTCATCGTTTTACTGTTGAAATAAGTAGATACAACCTTAAGTTCTATTCTAATAATTTCTTTGCTCGCACTTCTCGCCCGTGGAAATCCCTTCCGATTTCTTGCTTCCCTGACAACTACAATCTTCAAAAATTTAAATGCGACACCAATCGCTATCATTTATCTTCCTGAAACTTCTTTTATTGTTCTTTATCCTCACTAAAGTTTTCTCATTCAATTTTGCTCCCAATAACCCCTTGCGTCCTAGAAGCATTATCGGTTTTGATAATGTTATCAGTCCTGATTTGGCATCTTAGTTTCATTCTCTTTGATATGACGGTGCTGATGACTTCGCTCTTTAAATCAAGGGTTTGCGTGTCGCTAAAGTAGGTCTGCGAGGATAAAAAAATTACCTCGGATGATGAATAACTGACTAAAACTCGTTTAATAAATACGCGATTTAATGTGGGTGATCTTTGTCCAGTATCACTTCCAAGCCATCTTTTCCAATTCTTCGTTCAGTAACACGCATATTTGTTTTTGACTGTCCGAAAAAAAAAAAAAAAAAAAACAAAGAAAAAACACCAACAATTCTTTATATTAAGTCAACTGAGTGAGTACATTCCCGATTAAAATGAACATAATATATGGAAAGGGTACAGCATTTTTTAAAGCTTTAAAACCGGACATTTAAAAAGTATATACATAAATATCAGAATGACTGATGTTAAGCTCCCGGTGAGTGACTCGTTGCGCCTCCTCGGGGTAATATTCTCGGCTGACATGAAGTGGAAAGATTCTCTTGAATCCATTGCTAGGTTTGCTGCTAAGAAAATTGTTTCACTCTGTCGTGCTAGACAATGATTCTTTCCAGAATTTATTTACATATTTATAAGTCTGCCATTTGTTCATGTTTTGAATATTGCTGCCACACATGGTCCAGTGCTCCAGCTGTATAAATAGAGATTCTTGATAAAATCTAAAAAAGAATAATATTATTCGTTCTGATCTGCCGTTTCGACTTCAGACCCTTTCCCAACGCCGTTATTTAGCTTCACATTCGAAGAATGAGATATGTGTGCAATAAAAGAAATGATAATAAAATAACTTATTTTGAATCGAATTTGGAAAATTATCTTTGTAAGAAAAATATTATTACTTCACTTTGAAGTGACACGGATCAAACTATAAAATAGATTTTTAATTTTGTTATACTAAAAAGGGGCAAGAAAGCAGTAGAAATATTAATAATAAAAGAAATAAATACCACTGAGAGATTATTGTAAATGCACTTTCGATAACTGCTCTGGTGAGAACAAAATATCAATTATCTGTCACGCTAATGAGAATTGGCAACTTTAATATTGATTCGATTTGAAAAAAGGAAGTCATAGTTATAGCATTGAATATCGAAGATCCCTTGTCTCGTTTCAACTTGCATATCCTCTTCGGCTCAAATACGCAAGCTTCAAAGTAAATCAAGTCAACCTTTAAAAAAAAAACTGAATTGCATGTTTTAATTCACATTTTAAGTTCCTACCTTCTTTGATGACTCGGTTTATAAGCGTAACACTGAAATCTGAATGCGCACTGGGAGGGCGAAATCTGTCTTCCTGAAGCTAAGTGTTATGATAATTTACCCACGCACGCATGGACTCTTCCAGCTATAAATAGGAGCAGGTACTGCCTTCTGGAAAGTGTAGTTTATGACAGTCGGACCTTGCTCGTTTGTATATGTTTTGTATGACTATTTCTGCTAATATATTTGTTTAGCTCAATTCCTCTCTTTGTGCCTTATTTTTGACCCTAACACGGCCACAACAACTTGGCGGCGAGGAGTCTTAAGGATCCTTGAGGACCACAAAAGGACTACGTGGAAATTGTCAATGTTGGTTCTATTCAATAGTACTTCGCAATCTAGAAAAGGGAACCGAACGAAAGAAAAAA